AGCACCGGACGTGCAGCGCCCACAGTCTACTACGCCAAAAGCCCTGGTCACAAGGATTCATAGCTGAAGCGTCCATCGACTCGTTTCGTCTAAAGATCTAGAGCTTCTGTCATCATATGAGCAGGACGAGAAAGAGCCTGGCTTGGACGTGAACCCCGATTGTGAAGAGAAGGCCGGCCAGAGCTTTGAGATGTTAGGCAAATATAAACAAGCAAGCTCTAGATAACGACTAGCCCGACTAATACACCCTAAGCCCTAGTTGTGGTAGGTCTGTGTGTATATATACATATGTAGACATAGATGAGGTAACACTAGTACAAAACCCTACATAACTGGAGATTCTATATAGCTACACATGTATGTATATATCTAGCTAAGTATTAAATAGGTTATACGGCCATTGCAGGGTTTTGGATCTTAAGACGCGGTTCCTGGTGGGGTTGGGATTGATTCCGAGGGCTTTACAAGAATCCAAACAGGATGTTTCAGTTCAGTGGTATACCTTAAAAGACAGTTGGGCTTCAAGTTGCAAATCGCTTTCTGATCTCGTTAGGTTCCTGCTGCATATACTGCACTAGTAGTTTGCGAGTTTGGTTTCTCGGTCCTATAGCTAAATGTAGCTATGTCCTGTGCTTGCAGGCAAACGAAGGCGAAGCTGGGGCTTCTTCATCTTCCGAGAGTGAGGAGGTCGGGTCTTAGTAACCATCAAATTAATCCTTGAATGGCTCATTATCTCAACGAAGCTACAATGCCAGGACTCACCCCAAAAAGAAGCCGAAGTTGCGAAGACCGATGTGGGCCCCAAGCCGAAGGCCAAAGGCAAAGCAAAAGCAAAAGCAAAGGGGAAGGCCAAGTGTAGGGCCAAAGTCACACAGGCCAAAAGCAGCTGGGAAAAAGACTCTACCGGCTCCGAGTCAGAACCCGAAGTGAAGAAAGCTGTTGATGACGACAAAGGTGTTTGGGATTGCAATATGTCTCAAAGTGTTAGCGTGTTAGCTCTAGCTACCACTTCTGAATCATGTCCTTCTGTTCGTGCTAAGGAGAGGGCCCGATAACTGCAGCAGCCAAGCCGAAGCCGGCGAAGAAAGCTCCAGCCGCTTGCCTCCAAGATGCGACTTGCTACACCAGCTATATTCAAGAATTGCCTTACGCAAGGCATGCTTCGAGAGTGTGGTCGATGCGAAGGACTTCAGCAGATCTGCCTACACCGTTGTCATAAATCGGTGCCAGCAGGTAGCTCTAGAACATGCGAAGATGTCAGTTCCGGATCCAGCGAAACAACTCGAACTAATCAAGCTCCGCCGACAGCGTGGCAAGCGGGGTGGTGCTGCGACCCTAGGCCTTACATGTGTCTAGGTGCGGTTGTATATAGGTGTTCTACATTCTCGCTAGACATGCATGACCTCATGCCTAGCCTAAGGAACTACATCGTAGACACCATTGCCAATGCGCAGGACGGCTGGAAAGTGGAAACACGCATCCGACTGAGTGGTCGCCAGAAAGGCAACAAGTACAAGTGCTTCAGAAGCCCTGGTGGGGTTTGCTACTGGTCCTTGAAGAAAGCAAGGGAACACGGTTTCACTGGATTTTTGTCTCCTTCTGGCGGCACGCCCCGCCGATTGCAAAGCAAGTCGAAATCTTTCAAGAAGAAGAAATCAAAGGTCATGGCCGGCAAGAAGCGCAATAAGTGTGCTTCCTGCTAGAAGTTCTTTGGGAGGCTCTCTTATGCTGTGTGTAGGGAAGCTCTGGCTGATCATGTGCTGGACATGGTTGTTGCACGGGATTGCATGTTAAGTACAGTGCATCCGGCACACAGCAGGAAAGAGAGACATTGGGTTTCCTGCGCAGAGAGCACATGCAATGCAGTGTGCAGCATTACTGCCACGGGGTTCGCGACAAGTCAAGCGCACAAAGACCAAGACCAGGGTGCAACAGCCACGATTTCATTCTTGTTGGTTTGACATGTGTGCGGTCATTTCTGAGACCCTCCGTTTTTTCTGAACATTTGCTGCAGCTGTTAATATTGGTTACGAGTTCTTTGGCGGCATGCGGCCCTCCTTGCTTCGTCACATAATTCCATGGTTAAATTCCTTACCAGTGCCGAGCGAACTGAATGATTTCGTGCCTCGGCAACATGTTGTGACTGCTATCAGCCGGTGTGACTGCATGAGCTTGCTGCTCTCGTCTGTGAAACATATGTGCTTCGAACACTTAGGTGGAGGCCTTCGCTGGGGAGGGCAACTTCACTCAGGGCATGATGGAGAGCGGCCTGGTCGGAGTCAAGATGGATGCATCTCGGTTCGCAACACACATGAGTATTTCGAATAAAAGAACCACATAAACGGATGAAAAGGGAGAGACTTGCAGATAGAGAGAGAGAACACATATATGTATATGAAGACAGGGAGACACACCCACACACATATATATATAT